CCTTCGCTGGTGGCACAGGGCAGCTGGAACAGGGCAGCAGCTGCCCCTTCGTCACCACTGGAGACCTCCAGTTCCTACCCACTTGAGTCTGCTTGCCTCATTCATTGATCTGCAGGGGCCCCAAAGGCGTCTGAGTCTGCGGCTCTGAGCTGGAAACATTAAGCAGATGCAGGCCCAAAGCCAGTCATGGGTGAGCTTTCCCCGAACCATAAGTCGACATATCAGTAATAAAATGTAAGGCAATCGTCTGAGAAACAGGAACACCCGTGGTCAGGTCTACTTGGATTTGGGCTCCAGGATACTCTTTTGTCTCTAAATACATTCACTTTTATTATTTCATTTGTTCTGAAATTACTCTCAGATAAACCACTGAAGCTAAGTTATCCAACCAAGATCACCCAAATAGCCAGCTCTGAACCCAATTTCATCCCCCTACAGTGTTTTTCCAATATTGAATCAACACTCGGCAGGGCCACAAAGCTTTTTCCACCCCAGGACCTTGGCATCTGCTGTTTCCTTTACTTGGAAACCTCTCCAACCTCTTTACATGGGAGGGTGTTACTCTTTCAGCTCATCTGCATCACCTCCACAGAGAGATATTTTCCCAATCGGACTAGTTAAAATAGCACACATACACATGCCCACATCCTCACCCGTCAATTATTCTCTAGGCTCCTTGCACCTCAAAGTGAGGCCCCCGCTATCAACAGYCTCTGGAAGCATTTCTGAATTGCAAAGAAAATCTCAGGCCCTGCTCAGAGTGGCAGAATCAGGATCAGCATGTTAGCAAGATTCCCCAGGTGATTCATATATTCTTAAAATTTAAAAAGCACTACCTACACAAGCACTGCCCAATAGAAATACAATGYGAATCATGAGTCTACTTGTAAAATTTCAAGTAGCCACATTTACAAAGTAAAGACATGGAATTAACAATATATTTAAGTGAATAAGAATGTTGCAATCTCCACATGTACTCAGCATAAAATCCCTAATGAGCCATTTGGCACTCTGTGTATTTTACACCTACAGTCTATTTCAATTTGGGTATTTCTTGTGGTCAGTGGCCAGAGGTGGACAGTAGCTACCCCACCAGACAAAGGCACTCTGAGCCTCCACTGACTCTAGCTGGTCTCCGTAGCCTTTATCCCAACCAGATTTTTTTTCTCCGAATCATTTGCCTTGTTTCTTTGTTGTTTCTCTGACTCTAGGGACCAGTTCCAGGAGAACAGGAGCTTGATCTGTCTTATTTTCCACTTGACCCTCRGTTCCAAAGACAGTGCTGGGTGCCCGGTCAGCATCCACTCAATATTTGTTGAATGGAAGAATGAAAACCGTACATGACCTGCCTAGCACTTGCTGCGTGACGGAGCCACAAACACAAAGCACGGTGAAATGGACAGATGTGGGTTCAAACCTCCACCCAGGAGTTGGCCAGTCTGCGACCCTGAAACAGTCATTCACCCTCCCCTGGAATAATGGAAAATCTCGCCCATAAAACAGAGATGCTGCTATTTAGCTCACAGCACCACCGCGACACTTAAATGTGAAAACACGTGTACAAAGCGCAAGCCACCACACTGGCTGGCACTTCTGTCAATGCCAGCGCGATTCCGTCCTTCATTCTCTCTCTGGGTAGCGTGTGCAAATAACGCTGCTGTCACTGTCCACCTCGGCAGCAGGAGTGTGGCTTTGGAKAGATTGCCCTGAGTGAGTTCTCCCAGCCCATGGACCTGTATATGAACTGGGGAGAGTGAAAGTAAATGGGGGACCTCTTCCCAAGGGGTCCCCTGGAGAACAGTTCATCATGTAAACCACAGGAGAAGACACCAGTCATGTTGCTTTGTCACCTTGGTGAGTCATGCAGTGGCAGCCAGGGACCTTCCCCCAGGTCCCGTCCCTTGCAATAGTTCAAGATCTCTGCCCAGACAACTTGTACCAGATCCCACGGAAAGACGGGAAGGGATGAGTGGTGGGCTGAATCTTCCCCAACTTATTAATCACTGGTCCGTGTCCATATTCCGAGGGAGGCCGGCTTCTGCGAAGCCTCACCACACACCACCTAATCCATTAGTCAATGTTGCCCTGAGAACCGAACGCACATGTTCTAATCTCAAATGTGTTTTTACATCACATTAGATCAACAGCCTAGGAGCAAAGCAAAACCCGGATTGAGAGATGACTGGAGTGACGGGAAGGAAATAAAACGGCTCAGGCTGATTAGTGGAGTATCAGGAAACCCCAAGACGGCAGAAGTGACAGCCGCCCCAGTTTCTTCTTGGCTCTGGCTACGAACAAGAAAAAAAAAAAAAAAAAAACCATAACCGCGTGCAGGATCAGTCGGCTACCAGAGACCCATTAAAAATAATAAGAAGTCAATACATAAATCGGGGGAAATCAAAAGCATAAATTAACCTCTGGATCTCTCATCGGACAAATAGAGTCCAGGTAGCTCACCTGGTATGTACAGGAAGGGATTTTGCCATGGAAGGGCATCATTTTCAAAGACTCAAGACTGGAACAGTGAGGTATTTGTTATTGGTCTGAATCCATGCTACCACTTYCGTTTCTACAAGATAGTGTGGTTGTTTGTCCATCCGCTCCTCCTCCAGGGGAAAGAGGGATCAGAGAGGCCAGGAGACCAGGAACTAATGAGAAGTCTTACAAATTCCCTGACAGCACTGTCATCTGCCTGTTCCAGGCCGGGGCCAGCACATGCTACTTCTAGGAGCCCAGGAGCGTGCACACCAGCCAGCTTGAGTGAGGAATGGTTCCCTCTATGTCGGATAGACAAGTATGGGCAGGAAAGTTGCTCTTGAGAGGATCTTCTCCCGCACTCCCAATCAGGACCACCCAGCATGAYGAGGCTCTGTCATGGGCTAGATGCTGGGTGAGCAATGCAAGGCACAGAGATGTCCCATGGTCCCCTCAAGTGAGGACCAAGCGTACCTCACTCCTCTCCGCACCTCTTGAGGTTAACCATTCTGTGCATGGCTACCAAATAGTGACACTGAGCCCCAAAGATCACCAGCATTGGCAGGGAACAGGAGGCTTGGCACACCACAGTGCTGGAATATCTTCGGTAGCTGCAGTGTGACAGCGAGATAGTTTATGTACCTTCAAGTCTATGTACCCAAAGGAATATAGGGCTGTCTGGCATCTGCTTTCCCTTGATTCAAAAAATTACCCAGACCCCACCATGGCACCCCACCCAGCACCCCTGGTCAACTTGAAGTCATCTGAAGGAAACACCCCGTACTCTCTTTCCAGCTGTCGCAAAGCAACCCAAACACATGTTGGAAAGATTTGATCTTTATGCCTTCCTCAAAGGACATCTGACACTTCTCACAAGACACACAGCTTTAAAATTAGAACTAGAAATCAAAACTCACAGTAACCCTCACCAGGGGAAAGCCACCCCACAGAAAGAAACCAGAACATCCCCAGGACCAACAGTTAGGCAATCAAACCCTCCGGAGACGTCGTACCCCGTCTTTATTTTGCTGTTGTTGCATTAGTCATCCCGACACCTTTTAAATTATAATCACAAACTGAAAGCCATGGCTTGTGATGTTATAAATACTGATTTTCCAGTTAAATTAAGCATTTGCTGTTTTATGTTTTGATAGGAAGGGGCTGTTTGAAGCCTCCTAAAATATTGCAATTAGTTCTCGCTGTTGAAACAGACAAGACATTAACAGACACATTTGCTGTTTCGGGATAATGTGCTAGAATGCTTATGCCTAAGTGTTCTTCTCTGAAGCTTTTACAACACCAGACATATTTTTGAAAGTGGAAGAAATCAATCACAATACACACATTGATTATGTATTTTTAAAGTTAAGTTATTTCTAAAACTTTCCCAGGCTGTAATTTAAACCTAGAGAGCACATCTCTTCAACAGGAAGGCGATCTGTCAGGAAACAATTTTACCTATTGGCTCTGTTAAGATGATAACATCACTTTAGCTGACAAAGGCCATGTTTCTGTTTTGACAATTGCAATTATTTATTGAAATGCAATTGCGGTGGGTCTGGCCATCCAGATGGGTTCTCCAGAAAGACATGAAACAGAGGAAAAGGGGAAAGGGTGTGTGTGTGGGGGGGGGGAGGATTGCATTTGGAGTATTTGCACAGTGTTGTTGCAAATGTTATTGCTGGCAAGATTGGTGGATTATTAATTTATTTCACCTGCACTTAACTTTCGATACTGCCTTACTCACACCACCAGCAAACGGTGGGAAAGAAGGGCCATGAACATCTCACAAGAGCATCTCACAACCTCCAATTTTGGCTGAAGGAATTGCAGATTCGAAGGGGCATCAGTGCAGGGTATAAACATTCTTAGGGAACCAACTACCATTTAGGCACTTAGGCTCCTGATGCAAAAGCAACTCCATGTTCATTCAGCCGAGGGGGGCAGAAAGTTATGGAGGAGGGAAACACCCTGTCTTTACTAGAAAGCCAAAGCGCCAGCATCATCTTTTTAACCRGCTTTCTTGTGCATTTTTGCTCTGACCTTAAAATACTAAAGTTGGATTCCAGCCACGCAGATGCGTTTGAGGGCGATTGTGATTGATTCCGGGGGATCTCAAAGCCCCTTCGTCAATTTAGTTATCCTGTCTCGTTCCTCCAGCGTCCCCCCCCCCCATAGAATCCCAGAGCCCTGCAAAAGCCTGGGTTGGGAAACACCCCGCAGKCAGGAGGACCGGGGATCCCCAGGCTTGGAGCTGGGTAGATGGAGAAAGCGCCCCTTTAGATGGGAAGCCCCAGGCAAGGCGGGGATGACACGTCCCCTAGCCCTAAAATAAAGTGATCTGAAGCTGGAGTCCAGCCCTCTGAGTCCAGCAGCTCCCCCTGAGCAACCCCGCCACGACTCCCAGAGCCCCAGCGCAGGGACAGAGGACTCCCGGGACTGTTCCTGGATCTGGAAGGGCATGGAAAGCGGCGGCTTCCCCTCCCGGTCTCCCCAGGGKTCCCTCCCATCCCGAGGGGTCCTACCTGTACCACTCCAGCCCCTTTTCGTAGTTCCTGTCGAAGAAGTGCGGCTCTACGCCCACCGCCCGCACGTCCGGGTGTACTCGGATCGCCTCTAGCAGCGCGCGGGTCCCTCCTTTCTTGACCCCGATGATCAGCGCCTGGGGCAGCTTCTTCTCCCCGTAGTCGGGGGTGCTGACGACGCCGCCCCTCTCGCTGCTCCCGTTGGCCGCTCTCCGGCCTGCCAGCTCCTCGTCGGTGGTGCTGGACTCCTGCGCTTCCCTTTCCAGCAGCGCGCTCTGCGCCGTGATGATCTCGCTGGGGGCCAGCGGAGTCCGGAGCCAGGCGTCCCGGGCGCCTCCGCCGCCGCTCGCCAGCCCCCAGCCGTCGGCCCCGGGGGCGGCGGGCTGCTCCGGGGGTTCGGGCGGCTCCCCGCGGCTCGCGTTGTCCGGCGGCGGCRGCGCGGGCGGCTGCGAGGGGGCGCCGAGGCGCACGGGGGGAGGCAGCAGAGAGGGTGGTGGCGGGCTCGGCGGGGGCTCGGCGGCGGCGCCCGGCGGCTCCTGCAGCGCCAGGGGGAACTGCAGGGAGCCCGAGCCGCCCAGGAGACTGTAGCACAGGTAGGTGACAGACAGGGACAAGGTGCACATGAAAAGCAGCTTGCGCGCCGGCGGCCCCTTAGCAGAGGCGCCGGGCGGCGGCGGCGCGGCCAGAGGTGGAGGCGGAGGCGGAGGCGGAGGAGGTGCGGGCCACGGGGCCATCGCGGCTCCCGGCTCGCGGCGGCGGCGGCGGCGGCAGCCCCCGGCGCTGCCCGGACATGGTTTCAGCCGCCGCCCCCGCCGCCGCCGCCGCCGCTGCCCAGCCGCCCCGGCTGCATGAAGCGACGCCGCTGCGCCCCCGGCCCTGGCCGCTGTCCCGCTGCGCCGGGGGGAAGCCCGGCCGCATGGCCCCCCTCCCCACTCTGCCCGCGGAGTCCGGGTGGCCCCCCACCACCCCCCCTCAGCCTCTGGCAAGGGGACCGAGGGGGGCGCGCGGACCCGCCGGCTGCACCTGCTCCGTCTGCAGCGCCCCCGCTTCCCCCGCTCCGCCGCGGCTCCTGCTTCAGTCCCTGCCGCCGCCGCCGCGCGCTGTTGCAGCCCCGAGTTCCTTCCCCGCTGCTAACTTTCTGCCGGGAGAGAGGAGAGGCGCGGAGGGGAGGAGGAGGGGGCCGCGCGCGCGCCCGGCGCCGCCGAGGGAAGGGGGGTGCGCCTGGCGCGCGCCTGCGAAGGGGGGCGCGGGAGCGGAGGCGTGCGCTAGGGCTGGGGCACCCGGGAGAGCCGGGATCGTACCCCCACCGCCGCCGCCAGACACTCTGCGCTGGGTGTTCCCCCCCCCACCGCGGGTGCGTCCCCTCCCTTGGGAGTCTGAGAAGCCGTGCTGCACTTCAGCCCTCTCCCAACACTTTTAAGGAATTGGAGCTCAGAGCCAGTAGCCGGTGCCGCGCACTGGGGAGCCAGCGGGGGGCCAGCGAATGGGGAGCTCTTCCTTCGTTTGTACCCTGGGACTCCAAGTAAACTCAGCCCATCCCTGACCCTCCCTTCTCTCACCCTGGGGTCGACCTGCCTTGGATCAGGAGGAATCCCTTCTCCCCAACAGTTTCCCCATCCCAAATTCCATCTGTCCAGTCTCCCCATCTTTTCTTGGAGCTTATGATGGGTGGAGCTTTGACACAAACCCCCACGTTTCCCAACCTCAGAGCTCTTGCCTCTGTCCCATCACTAAGTGACCGTGCTTTTTTACAAAAGATGAGGCCACCCCCTCTGGGACACCCTTAACCACAGGTGCACATACCTGTGCCCTTTGGAAGGCATTGGCCACTAAAGAAGTTCGGGTTTGCCTGGACTGAAATAAAATGAGAGTCCCTCTCTCCAAACGTCTAATAAGCGGAGACAAGGTGGGTTGCAGAGGGTCTGTGTATGGTCGAATTACATTTTTTTAAAAATGTATTGTCTCTTAAGAGATTTCCATCCCTCACTTCCCTCTCTTGGATAGGGCCSAATGATAAACATCAGAAGGCTCTAGAAGTGTCCAAAGTAGACTCTGCTGTGGCCTTTGCTCAGGAAAGTGAGGGAAATGGCAGGGTGGGATTGAAAGGAGGAGGCAAAGCAATCAACSGAGTCTCTGTAGCCACCTCTGCTTCCTGGGAACAGGGCTGGCCCTGCACAACAGCCTGGCCAGTCTCCTCCTGGGGCCGGCTCTATTCAGCCCCTTCTCCCCTGCTAGCCCCAGCTGGGTGCCTGGCAGATCTGCTTTCCCCTCTTCTGCTGATGTGGCTGACTTCCCCTGTTTTGTTTGATCACATAATAGGAACAACAGCTGAAAGAAAATGTATATAATGTCTAAATATTAACAAAATACCTAGTGCCAAAGAGGGGAAAAAAAATGTTAATCAAATAAGATGAAGRACACGGACTTTTCCCTGAGTGAACAAAAGCTCACTGCTGCTCTCAGCTGGACATGAGTTTCCTTCACTGCAGCTTTAGTTTAGATAAAGATTATTCCTTTATAATATATTTTTTATGGTACACAGGAGACCTCTGAAATGCAGAGTCTGGTGTCCTGTAAATCATTCCTTGTAACTAGGGATGCTTTTTCAAACACGGCACAACTGTATTACTGTAATGTCAATGGGAAGGGGCCAACTGAAGTTGCAAGGAGCCCAGGCTTTGGCGGGCACTCCTTCCACTCCCAGAGCGGCCCCAGAGTGGCCAGCCAGGAAGCTGAGGCTTCTGCTGCATTGGCCCATCTCCCTTTCAAGACTCAGCCTCCAGGGTGCCCAGCCCCCTGGCCCAGGCCCTCATGTTCACATTTCTGAGTCCACTCTTTCAACCATCTGAAACCAACCTGTTCTGAGTTCAGTTTTGAGAAATAAGTGCATTCCCAAATTTGGAAAGGTTTGGATGAAATGGTTGGAAAGSTTTCGATAACATGGCGTTAAAATCTAACCCAGAGGTGGCAAACTGAGAGTGATATTAAAAAACGTAAACAAGCTACAAGCTGCAATTGTTTAAAATTGCAGGATTTCCCTTAAAAAAAAAAAAATCTGAAGTTTCTATTGGAAAATCAGCCTATTCCCAACTTCAGCCAGAGGTGAGATGCAGATGAGCCTTTAGCAGGAGCATATGGACCTGCACATTTATGTCCCTTGCCTGAACTCTGGTAGTAAGGAGATCTCTCCCTTCCTTCTCTCTGTCATCCCCTATAGCCACAGTCTTGAAAGAATGCAGTTCTGCTGATAAGATAAGGGGGCCACATAAGTGATCAGGCAGAGGACAGGGTTTTTTGTTTTTGTTTTTGTTTTTTTGAAGAGTTTTGCCCATTGCACACTTAGACAATTGGCTATATTTTGTTGTTGTTTTCTTGTTGTTGTTGTTGTTGTTGTTTTTAATGGAATATTTTTTTTGGTTGGTTTGGTTTGCTACTGTGAACCCAAGGGTGCTTAACCATTGAGCCACATTCCCAGTCCTCCCTCTTTTTATTAATATTTTTTTTTTAGTTGTGGTTGGACACAATATCTTTGTTTATTTATTTTTGTGTGGTGCTGAGGATCGAATCCAGGGCCTCCCACATGCTAGACAAGCGCTCCATCACTGAGCTACAGCCCAAGACCCCCAGCCCTTTTTTACTTTGAGACAGGGTCTTGCTAAATTGCTTAGGGCCTCACTAAATTGCTGAGGCTGGCTTTGAACTTGCGGTCCTCCTGCCGCAGCCTCCCAAGCTGGGATGACAGCTAATGGAGGTGCTTTCTAAGAGCAAGTCTTTGAGAAACCAACAATTAAAGTAGGAGCTGTGCGTGTAGGGTGATCTCCAGCTGTATCCGCAGTGGGTCTAGAGATGCTAGAATACTGTTGACGGTTCCACRGCCAGTATGCATGCTCATTCAGCCCCTCATTTTCACAGTGTTCTTCCAACTGGGCTCCTGGCCTCCGGTGGGCCTCCTTTCTAGTCAGCCTTGGCAACAATAGCAGATCACCGTTTGGGAGGAATGTCTGTGTGGCGCTGAGGATGGAACCCAGGGCCTCATGCATGCTAGACAAGCGCCCCATCACTAAGCTACAGCCTCAACCCATCCCCAGCTCTTTTTATTTATTTATTTTTTTAATGAAAATATCCCCTTGCTGACTCACTGCCTACCTCATCAATTCCCACCTGTCACCTTGGTTCTCAAGGTCCCCTTTCACCTCTCTTGAAGCACAGAGTTTTGCCAAACCAAACAGAACATGCCTAACATCACATTGCATTATTCTGGTATCCTTCTGCATTATCAGATGATACTGTCCAAACAGAGCTGTCATTTGTTAGCTAATGGTTTTTGAGGTAGGTCATTTTGCCTCTCTGAGCCTCAGTTTCTGCATCTATAAATTATGACTAATAAGATTCACCTGACGTTGTGTTTATAAAGAATTAAATTGAATTAGCCAACATATGCAAAACCACCTGGCTCTCTGCCTGACATGTGGTGGCTACCAATAATGATTTGGGTCTAGATATTGGCTCAGAGCATGTCCTATTTCTCTTCCGATTAAAATGTTGTCCCTGAAAAAGAAAAAACAAAAAATTCGTGTGTCCTTGCTTCAAAATCAGGATGTGTATGCTGAAGTTCACTTTCCCAATCTGTCCGGTTCACAGCGCGTGTAAAGCCAGGTCCGAGGCCTTCTGGGGTATTTGTTATGCAGTAGAAACGAACTCTGGCTAACTTTAGCCTTGTTTTTTCTGTTTTTTTTTTTTTGTGTGTGTGTGTGTGTGTGTGTGTTTTAAGGCTAGGAAGGATTTATGACTCACATAACAAAAAGGGATTTAAAAAAATCAATGAACAAAAGACAAAAACAGGTTTGGGGATAGACAGGGAGAGTGTGTGGTGGCTAGAATGGTCCAGTCTTCCTGCAGGATCCTGGGAAGGAGACACTTTCCAGGTCCCTTCCCGTTAGGGATGCTTTGGTTAATGAAACAGGAGCAGAAGGGAAGTTTGTCTTTGGGAGATAGCAGGAGATTTGCCCTGGTCTCTTTTCCAGTCTGGCAATTGTAGAAGAAAGCGGTGCCATCTCCCTCAGCCTCCGTGGGCTCAGAGCTCCTCACTGAAGAAAGATACTATAGATCCAGGCCTCAACGCTGTAAAGATGAAAAGAAATAAACCTATGCTGTTTTCAGCACCAAGGATGGGGCTTTGTTATCATAGCACAACCTAAACTATCCAGCTCATTAAAACATAATACCATGTTGCCAGGTGAGGTGATGCATACCTGTAATCCCAGTGGCTCAGGAGGCTGAGGCAGGAGGATTGCAAGTTCAAAGTCAGCCTCAGCAATTTAGCGAGGTCCTGAGCAACTTAGCAAGATCCCGTCTTAAAATATAAAAATAAAAAGGGCTGGGTTGTTTAGTGGTTAAGCACCCGTGGGTTCAATCCCTGGTACAAAAAGAAAAAAAAAAAAACAAGAAAGAAAAAAATCATGTTAATTTCTTTTGCTATTCATCAAAATGACTTCACTCCTCCCATACTAGAATTTCTTTCATGAAAGTGAGTAAATGACACATTAGAAACCCCATTAATTTAAAAAAAAAAAAAAGTTTTCCCAGCTTGTCTTTTACCTGTATGTAAAAACGTAAACCTCAACAAATCTGAGGTAAACTAGATAAACTTCCAAACAAAACCAAYGTAGCAACAGAGAAGAACATTGTATTCTTCCAAAAGGGGTGAAATACTTAACATAGTAATCATAACCATGAACGTATCACCTTGAAAAGGAGCTTATACGGAAAAATCAGGAATTACTTGGACTAAAAGCACCATACCACAAAACGCGGAAGATAGAATTAAGCAATACATATGAGAAAGATYATGGATGTGAACATGCTTATCTAGAAAGGATAAAAATGTAAAGCAAATGAGCTGTGGGTTTAACTCAAGCTAGAAAATAAGGAAGGGTCAGCAACTCMGGAGGATGAAAGGGATAAAAGCATTTGTTTATACTTATTTGGTATTTATTTATTGCCGTGGATCACACTGTGTTCCCCTTCCCACCAAGTTCACATATGGAAACTCTGATCTTTAATGTAATGCATCTGGAGGGTGGGGCTTTAGGAGRTA